TTTTTAACCAAAGAGTAAAAAAATAAGAAGAAATAAAAAGGAAGAAAAATCGAAAAAAAACAGAAAAAGATTTTTTTTTTCCTGGGAAGATTAGATTGAATGCAATGGCGTTTTATGCCTCCGGGGAAGCACTCGTATCAAAAAGGAAACACACAGAGAAAAAGTAATGATACATATAGAGTGTGAACAATAACATCGACCTGGACTAAATAGTGACACTTAGAAAGATAAAAGATACTGAGCTGTTAGATTTTTTTTTTAATCTGCCTTACGATGTATATTAAAAATAGGATTTCATATATCTTTTTGAATATATATATTTTTCTAACTGATCTTATTTTTTCGACTTAGAAAGTGTCATGTGTACTGTACCTTAGAGCTAGGCAGATAAAAGTGTAAATGAATATGATGGAAATGCGTTTCTAAAGAGAGCGGTTAAACGCGACAATGAAACAAGAGTGACTTTTGATTTTTGAGAAAGGTAAAGTGCCGCACCTTCGATCCTCGTGTGCGGCAGGGGGGGCGGCGCTTGGTCGGCGGGGGGCGGCAGGGGCGGCTGGGGGTCCGGCCGCAGCAGCAACAGCAGCAGCAGCAGCAGGAGCAGGTGAGCGAGCAGGAGCACCAGCAGGAGAGAGACCACCCTCCTCTTGCCCCTGGTGCCCGCCACCCGCATGACGGGGGCGTGGCGAGGCAGGGGCAGTGGGCGGTGCTTGTGGCGGCTGCTAGAGGATCTGTCAAGCGACCATTACGTCACCGCGAACTGTGACGTAGACATAGTCCATTACGTCATCATTGGCCTGTCCCATTACGTCATCAGCGGAGACGAGGTTCTCACATGCCGCCTCTGAGGAAGGAGAAGAGAGCGCGTGACTCCGGTTCCAGGGGAGCTGATGTCGCGGAGGACGAGGGCGAAGGAATCGAAGTCATGGGAGCGGAGAGTAGGAGGAAGGACGGGCGTGTATTGCTAGTGGGAGCATTGAAGGCATTAACAACTATTATTATTTTGAAAAAAAAAAAATATATATAAATATTGGTGATGGTCAGCTAAGGATAGGAACAGCATGGGTGATCAATATATATTATATATATATTGTATGTATTATATATATTATATATATTATATATATATTAAGATATATTAAAATATAACCTATTTTCAGTTTTCACACAATTTTGTGGAAACAATTTTGAGTCCTATTCTTTCAGATGTATATCACAACATTTTCAAATATCATTTGAAGCTTAAAATGGCATAAAAAGACTAATTGATGCATAAAATGGTCACCAGAGCACAAAACTTATTAGTCATTTTAAAATGGAAAATAATTATATAATGATTTAACAAAACGTGTATTATATGGTGGCACATGATCTAACACTCCATTTATGCGCTTCTATTTTCCTAGACACATAAATGTAAGTAATGGTGAAGTTAGACCAGTTATTTTCCTTAAAATAATCTAATTAGATCTTAAAACAGAAGTAGAGGCCACTCTCCCTGAAAAAAAATGACAACAACAGACTAGCAAAATTAGATAAACAAAATAATGATGATAACGAAAACATCACCCTAAAAAAACGCAACGAATAAGGTATAAAAGCTCCCGTTTCAAACAGTCTCAGTACCATCAGAAGAGAATACGACCCCATATTAAAGATTCCTTAGGGCCGCTTGTAAGCATACAGGCTATCAAGGGACAAGGAGATCGGCCTGCCTCGTGTCCTGTTTGGGCGAGACGACGAGGGAGACTAACACGTGAGAGGAAAAGTAGGAGACGATTTGTAGGGTGGAAGGAACGAGGACGAAGAAGTCATAGCATTGGGAGAGAAAATGAAGGTGAAGAGGAAAAAGGAATAACGAGAAAGAAGAGAGAAGGAAGAGGAGTCATCAGCACGTGTGGGGACTGAAAGAGGACGATGTGTAGATTGGACTGGGCGAGGTCGAAGGAGAAAGGGAAGGAAGGAAGAGGAAGAGGAGAAGGAGGGATAGGGGACGAGAAATAGGAAAAGTAAAGAAGGAACATTAAGAGGAGAAGGAGGGATAGGGGACGAAAAAGGGGAAAAGGAAGGAAGGAAGAGAAGAAGAAAGGACAGGGACGAGAGAGAGATATTGGAGGGGACAAAGAAGACGGATATCAGAGCCCCATAACACACGGAGGAGACTGACGGAAGACGAGGCGTAGACTGGACAGGACAAAGCCATGGAGGACGCGAAGGAGTTATTGTGGGGGGAGGAGGAGGAGGGGGAAGGGGAGGGGGAGGAGGAGGGGGAGGGGCAGGGGGAGGAATAGGGGGAAGAGGAGGAGGAGGAGGTGGAGGAGGAGGGGGGAGGAGGAGGAGGAGGACGCGAAGGAATTATTATGGGGGGAGGAGGAGTAGAGGGAGGAGGAGGAGGAGAAGGAAGAGGAAGAGGAGGAGGAGGAGGAGGAGGAACAGAGGAGGAGGAGGGGGAGGGAGGCAAAGAAGGAGGGTTATTGTGAAAGGAAGCAGGTGAGCGAGGAGAGAAGGGTAAAGAAGAGTACTATAAAAACAAATTGTGGAAATGGTAGAGAAATAAAGCGGAGGAGGAGGAGAAGGTGGAGGAAGATAAAGATGGAAGAGAAAGGGAATAAAATAAGGAAAACTGAAAGAGAAATTGTAGCTTGAAAAGAAAATAGAAGCTGAATAACAGAAAGTTAAAGGAAGTAAGGGCGAAGACGCTTTTAGATGATATCATCTAGAATGTATATTTTTGATAGAATTGCACAATTGAATATCAGATAAATTTCCAGTGATTTGATAACACGCTGGTTGAAATTCAGTAACGCAATATTCACCAACAGAAATGAAGACATACAGTTTACTCTTCACGGAATATTTTCTGTCCTTATCCTGTGTAAAATGTTTTTTACGTCCATCTTTGAAATAAGAAACATATATTTAAGAAAAAAAAAAACGCTTTCTGTGGATGAACGATAACCACATCAGGCTAAGTCATCCTTTTCGCCTGAAGATCTACAAAGTGACGTTATGTCCGTATCGCACAGCTGTGACCCGCGTCTAGAAATAGGGAAAATGGGGAGAGAGAGAGAAGCGCCAAGAAAAAAAGAAAAAAGGTTAGCCTCGGTTTATTTACACGACCTCGAACGCCCGGATGAAGAAGAGAGAGCGCCATCTCTCGGACGATTGTTACAGTTCGGGCGGCGGGCGGCGGGCGGCGGTCCTATTCCCTCGCTCCCTCGGTGACGCTGCGGCCCGGCGGATGATGCGGAGGCTGCGTCCTTCTCCCTCTGCTTCGTCTTGGTTCTGTTTCTTCGGTGTTCTTCTTTCGTTATTGTTGTTGCTACTGTTATTATTATTATCATCATCTTCGTCATCATCATCATCATCATCATCATCATCACATCATTATTATTACTATTAACATTATCATTACCATTATCATTAGTATTGTTACTACTCTTGCTATTTTTTATGATTATTATCATTATTATCCTTATTATTTTCATTAGTACCTTTGATATATAACTTTTATCATTATTGTTAATAATAAGTCGTCTTTCTTTTCCTTTCTTCATCGGCCTCTCTCTTCTTTCTACTTTTATCATCTTCATCTTTCTCTTTTTTTAATTTTCTTCTCTATTTCCTCTCTTCTTCTCCAATTTTCTTCGTCTTCCTGTTTCTCTTTCTTTATCTGCTTTCACCCTTCTTACTTCTCCAGTCCCGCCCATTTTCTATTCCCCGTTGCTATATTATCATCATCCTTGTTGTTTCTCATTCACTCCTCTCCCCTCTCCCCCCTCCCCTTCCTTTCCCTATTCCTCTCCCTCATTTTCCTCCTCCTCCCCTGATCTCATTCCATACGTGGGCGGTGTTGTGAAGGTGAAACAGACGAAGCGTGGGCGTAATTGTCATCGAAATAGAGCTCTGGAGGGAGAAAACGGAGCTGGCGGAAGGGCGCGGGCGTGGAGAGGGAGAAGGGCGTTGTTGAGAGGGAAATCAAGGGCGCGGAAAGGGAAGGAGTGGGCGTGGAGAGGGAAGGAGTGGGCGTGGAAAGGGAAGGAGTGGGCGTGGAAAGGGAAGGAGTGGGTGAGGAAAGGGAAGGGGTGGGCGTGGAAAGGAAAGGAGTGGGCGTGGAAAGGGAAGGAGTGGGCGTGGAAAGGAAAGGAGTGGGCGTGGAAAGGAAAGGAGTGGGCGTGGAGAGGGAAGGAGTGGGCGTGGAGAAGGAAGGAGTGGGCGTGGAAAGGGAAGGAGTGGGCGTGGAAAGGGAAGGAGTGGGCGTGGAAAGGGAAGGAGTGGGCGTGGAAAGGGAAGGAGTGGGCGTGGAAAGGGAAGGAGTGGGCGTGGAAAGGGAAGGAGTGGGCGTGGAAAGGGAAGGAGTGGGCGTGGAAAGGGAAGGAGTGGGCGTGGAAAGGGAAGGAGTGGGCGTGGAAAGGGAAGGAGTGGGCGTGGAAAGGGAGAGGGTGTTCGCTGAGAGGGAAATCGCGGGCGTGGAAAGGGAGATCGCTGACGCAGCGAAGAAGATCGCGGGCGTGAAGAAAGAGTCCATAGGCACGGAAAGAGAAACCATGAGCATGAAGAGAGAAACCGTGGGCGTGGAGAGAGAGAGAGAGAGAGAGAGAGAGAGAGAGAGAGAGAAAGAGAAAGAGCGAAAGAGAAAAAGAGAGAAAGAAAGAGAGAAAGAAAGAAAGAGAAAGAGAGAGAAAGAGAAAGAAAGAAAGAGAAAGAATGAAAGAGAAACATCACACGCATTGACAAGAACTTCGTGAATTAGACCAGCGTGAGGGGGAGGGGGGAAGGGGGGCAGAGAGTGGGCGTTAAGGATGCCCCTCATTATAACGGGATCATGGCAGCGCGGCGGCTTCGTAAGAAGGTTTTCCAGCCTTATCCTTCGGGGTCGCCGCTGGAGGAGGTTGTTAGCGGACGCGGCGGCGCTGGCGGTGCGTTTGAACGGACCTTTCGCTTTGTTTTTGTGTTGTTGTTGTTAGTATTGTTGTTACTTGTTATCACTATTAATGTTACTGTTTATATCATTATTATTATTGTTATTATTGTTATTATTATCATTATTATCATCATTATTATCATTGTTATTGTTATCTTATTATTATAATAATTATTATTATTATTATTATTACTATTATTATTATTATTATTTTTTTTTTATTATTATTATTATTATTATCATTACTAGTGTCATTATTATTATTATCATTATTATGATGATGATGATGGTAATTATTATCAATATTAATAGTATCCTTCAATATCGCTTTTATTATTATTATTATTATCATTATTATTATTATTATTATTATTGTTATTGTTATTACTATTATTATTACTATTATCATCATTATCATTATATGTATATATGTATGTATATATATATATATATATATATATATATATATATATATATATATATATATATATATTATATCATTATCATATATGTATGTATGTATATATATATATATATATATATATATATATATATATATATATATATATATATATATATATATATATATATATATATATATATATATATATATATATATATATATATATATATATATATATATATATATATATATATATATATATATATATGTATGTGTATATATGTATGTATATATATATATATATATATATATATATATATATATATATATATATATATATATATATATATATATAGTATATATATATATATATATGTATATATATATATATATATATATATATATATATATATATATATATATATATATATATATATATATATATATATATATATATGAATATATATATATATATATAATAGTATATATGAATATATATATATATATATATATATAT